ACATATCTGACCTTCGTATTTACTAATATTTTACATTAATAATAAATTACTTTAAAGGACAATATTGGTGTCAGTCATAATTACATATGTGATAGAACTGGTTAAATACATTCCAAATATAATTTTAACACAGAGATCATTGCTACGGGAGATGTGTAACAACCACGTGAAGTAACGGGAAGTGACGCCAAACATGACAAACACGAGTTATCCTTCTATGTATCTGACTGATGTAACGAGCGATAACAGACCATAAATCTAGTTTCATTTCACTGATAATTCCGTTGAAGTTGAAAAGTTTTTATATGGGACGGTGAGAGGGTATCTCACAATTCAAAAATAGAATTGGCTGTCACTAGATAAGGATAAACGAGAAAAATAAAAAAATCCTGTGCATTCCCCTGTTTTTATTCATTCTGTTCTTAATAAAAACATGGTAATGCACGGACTTTTTCTAATTTGTTCATTATCTTTTATCTAATGACAGCCAATTCTTTTTTTGAATTGTCAGATATCCTCTCACCGTCTCATAAAATAGCTTTTCATCTTCAACTGAATTATCAGTGAAATGAAATTCGATCGCGTGTCTGTTATCGCTCGTTGCTTCAATCAGTTATATAGTAGGATAACTCGTGTTTGTCGTCACTTCCTGTTTCTTCACATATTTTATAATGACTGACACCAATATTGTCCTTTAAATCACCGGGATTCACTTTGAAAACATATAAACATCGGAATTCACTTTCAACATATCGGAAATCGCACTTAAGACCTTCGTATTAACTAATATTTTACATTAATAATAGTATCATAAGGACTGTCATTGAGTCAACTGGCGTGGTTTCGAATCCCCGGTTGTACGTGACAAGGAGTAGGGTCGCCTGTCCAACCTCGTGGGTTTTCTCCGGGTCCTCCGGTTTCATTCCACTGCTAAATATATGCGCAAGCGAATTATTAAAATAAAATTAAACCATATGTTAGTCCCGAAATGACCTTGTTCGTGTCGAGTGGATGTTTGACCCCATTTCTCTCTCTCTCTCTACATTAATAATAAATTAATTTTAAACACCGAAAATCACCGGAATTCACATTGAAAACATATAAACACCGGAATTCACTTTCAAATATCGGAATTCGCACTTCTGACCTTCGTACTCGATCACAAATATTTTACACTAATAATAAGTTACTTTAAAACACCGGAGTTCACTTACAAAATATCTGAATTCGCACTTTAGACCTTCGTATTTACTAATATTTTACATTAATAAAAAATTACTTTAAAACACCGGAATTCACTTTGACAAAATCGGAATTCGCCCTAAGACAATTGTATTTACTTATATTTTGCACTAATATTAATACTAGAACGTATCTGCTGTAAAACGATATTTCCAGATGGTCAACTCGGGGAAACACAATATGATAAGAACACAGCAGTAATCCAGGTAGAATGTCAAACCTAACATTTCTCGAATGTAGATGAGCTAAGTTTATTCGAAAATTAACTTAGTAATAATAAGCCAATCAAATAATTATAAAGTCTCATCAATAATATTTTGGAAGTTTTCATAGATATTCCTTTGTAGCATGAAGAAGTCCAGATAAAATGAAGTGTAATTTTAATAATATGCCAATAGTAGGCGTATAGAATGTTCACCAGTTAATTGTCATTGTAAAAGGTGACAAATCACATACAATCACACCTCCAAAAAACATAATAAACTATGATAACATGAGAATGAGAATTTATTTATTTCTAAACAAGTTACGATGTCGATGACCGAAAGTGACAATCGGTGCAATTTGCAATTATAAATAAATAAATATAGCTATTATATTGAATTGTTTATTACACTATATATACCATAATATGTTTCATGCATATAATTACTGTTTTAATAAACTATTAATCAATCTCTAATTACAATACATAACAACGAATTGCAACAAAAGTATATATTTAATTTTGTTTCTTGGGGCGCGTCGAATTACCCAATAACACCCAATAACTTCCCAATAACACCCAATAACGGCCCAGTAACACCCAATAACTCCAAAATAACAACCAATAACTACAAAATGTTGACTTTGGAAACACAAAATAACAATTTAGTTGAATTTAAGAAGCATCGCTGCTTTGTGTCCAAATTGGAGTTTCACGCTCACTCGCCTGAAGGGAGATAACTCGTATATTTGATTTTTGTTGACAAGAAATTAATAATTGAATTATGATTGAAGCCAGCTAAGGTGGTTGTTTATTACAAAATTACAAAATGCCGGCTATGATTATCAATCCGCCTGTATACACTGCCATAAATAGTATACCTATAGATAACGTTCACCAGTTAATTGTCATTGTAAAAGGTGACAAATCACATACAATCACACATCCAACAAACATAATAAACTATGATAACATGAAAATGAGAATTTATTTATTTCAAAACAAGTTACGATGTCGATGACCGAAAGTTACAATCGACACAATTTGCAATTATAAATAAATAAATAAATATAGCTATAATATTAAATTGTTTATTGCACTATAATCTACCATAATGTGTTTCATGCATATAATTACTGTTTTAATAAACTATTAATCAACATCTAATTACAATACATTACAAAGAATTGCAACGAAAGCAGGGGCGCCGGAACCCGGGTACCAAATGGTACCCTGCTCTTTTCTGGGGTATACATGTATACCCATGCCCTAATGATGAATTTTTTCAACCTTACGACATCTGAAAACCTGGATTAGGTCCACAATGTCTCAGAATTCTCCGAACAATCGACTATTTGCCAAAATTCATAAGTTGAGAATGGACGAAATAGATATTGTGAAAATATTACCTGAATTTATTGTTTCGCTCGGATTATAGATCAAACCTTCAATTTGGGTAAATGTTTCATTACTCCATTGTCTTATAAAAACCAAGCTGTTATTAATCGCAAAACGAATCAAAACCCCATAATGCTTGGCCCCGTGATGCTCCATTGGGATGGCGAAGCACCAACCTATCACTATTTCTTTTCACATCTTCGTTCCCAGTTAGCTAGTGATAAAATAATATTTGGTACCGACGAAGAAAAATCTATGACTAAATCTTTGTATGAAGTATTCCAAAATTCTAATTTCTTACTTTGTACAAAACACATTAAGGAAAATTTATATCGATATTTAGAGAAATCGGGAACACCACAAAAAGAACGCTCAATTATAAGAAATTTAATTTTTGGTAAGGAAGGAATTGTATATTCGAAAAATGACATGGATTTTGAAATGAAAAAAGATGATTTGTCTGTTTATTTTGAAAAATATCCTAGATTTGAACAACATTGGGACAGATATTTAAAACATAAATTGTTATTATATGTTATTAAGCCCCTCCAAAATAAACTGATCTCAGACTTATGGACTAATAACAACGCAGAATCAATTCATAATAGACTGAAACAAGAAACCGATTGGCATATTCAGAATTTACCTGACCTTGTTACAAAATTGGCTAGAGTGTCAACATTTCAAATTCTCAACATACGTCGGGCTTTACACGGGACAGGCAATTGGCAACTTGTAGACCACAAATCTGAGATCCGTCCTGAAACATGGGCTTGTATGGAAGCGGACAAGAAAACTCGCATATTGAATAAATATTTAATGAAGAAGAAAAATGTATATAATGTAAATATTGTTAATTCAAAAAATGTTGATTTCGGGTGCGTAAAGCCCAAAGAAACGTCTGGCAAAAAACCAGGGCAACGTTAACGAAGGCGTGCAGAAAAACTCATTGAGTGGCTATGTTAGTTTTAATAAAATATTCCATATGAAACAGGTTTAAATGTTTTAATAAAATATTGGTTTGGAAAGGAATTAAAATTAAACGCCAAGTATCTCGTTACCTCGTCAGGTAGCGCCTTTGTGTGTAGAATGTTTGGCAGTTAATTGGAATTTCTTTACAGACTAATTATTTTATTATCTTTATAATATTTTCATATGAAACATTTTTAAATTTTTATCTCCCTTCAGGCGAGTGAATGTGAAACTCCGATTTGGACACAAAGCAGCGATGCTTCTTAAATTCAACCAAATTGTTATTTTGTGTTTCCAAAGTCAACATTTTGTAGTTATTGGTTGTTATTTTGGAGTTATTGGGTGTTATTTTGGAGTCATTGGGTGTTATTGGGTAATTCAACGCGCCGGTTTCTTGTCAACAAAAATCACATACACGAGTTATCTCCTGTGAACCTCCGATTTAGACACAAATCAGCGAGGCTTCTTAAATTCAACTAAATTGTTATATTGTGTTTCCACAGTAAACATTTTTGGGGTTATTGGCTGTTATTTTGGAGTTATTGGGTAATTCGCCGCAAATTGTTATTATGTGTTATTTTGGAGTTCGGCCTATTGGGTAATACGACGAGCCCTACGTTATCATAATCATGATGCATATATGTGACCCACTCTGACAAAAACAGTCACATGGCTCCACAATAAGATATTGAGATATGTACATATTTGAAAAGGAGATATCCTCAGCTTTGCATTGGTGCAAAAATTATTGAATTATCTCAATAATTGGCTGAGCTACAGCAGAAAATGTGTGGTAATGTTCAATGAATTTTGAAAACATTGATTTTGAGAAAATGGCCGCCAAAGTTTTATTTCAATCATCAGGTAAATGTCCATAGCAACCACATACTTAGGTTAAAGATACAGGCTTGAAATTTTGCACAGATATATTAGAGAGCATATGCAAACAAAACAAACATGTTTGAACTTTAAACTGTGATGAAATTTCCTGAAATAACATTGCATACTCCCAGCACTTTTATTTTCAAAAAGCAATTTTGGGAAATTTCGGGAACAAAATGTTTCTCATAATAAAAAGGCCGAAAGAGTAATTTCCACATCTTGGTGGAAAGTAAATGTATTAAAACAAAACAGAGAAGCTTGTAGTTGACAAATATTTTATTTTAGAAATATAATTCACATGCTTATCTCTCTGCTTACCCTGAGCAGAAAATGCTCATTATCGAACTTAGTCAAGGTATTGATGTAATGAAACTATACACCAAGTTTCATCACTCCCACTTAATTAGGACTAAAGTTATCGTGTCCCAAAGCATCAAACAATCAAATTGCTTATCTCTGCTTACCCTAAGCCGAAAATGCTCATCTTCGAACTCCATCAAGGCATCGACCTAATAAACACCTACACCAAGTTTGAACATTCTAGCTCAATTAGATAGAGAGTTATTGTGTCCCAAAATGTGTGACAGACAGACGGGATTTAACGTTCTACTGTTCTGCTCCGAACTTGGCCTCAGCACATGGTTTCGGGCAACAGATGTCCTTTGATTCATCGTCACAGAAGTCACAGATTTGGTCATAAAGGTAGGCTTGTCGTTTATCATCCAAGCCTGGTGGTTGAATTACTGGTGGCAGATTGACTGGGGGCAGGATCTCTGGATCTTTCAGCAGCTGAAACCTTGTCACATTTTCAGAGTCCGAACAATCTCTTGCGATGACCAGTCCAGGTGTAGAGGAATCAAAACTGAAATGAACAATGCAAACTTTTTAGTAGAACTAAAAACACGTATCAAAGGGATATTCATTCTGAAACAAAAGATATAAAAAAGGAAGAAACGGTGGAAAAACCAAAAATAACAATGTAAGTACAATGACAATGTGAAGTGCATTAATCATAATTCATTAAAGTTACTAATTTTAAAGTTTTCAGCTATTCATTATTTCTTATCACTGACTATCAATGTCTGCATACACAAAGAGGTGGTTGGGTGGCCGAAAGGTTAGCGCGTGCGCGTTATATCATTTGATTTGTCAGTGAGTGAACTGACATGGTTTCGATTCCCTGGTGACAAGGAGTAGGGTCGCCTGTCCAACCTCGTGGGTTTTCTCCAGGTCCTCCGGTTTTCTCCTACTTCTAAAGACCCCCATGCGGAAGCGAATTAAGAGCGTGTCCACGAGAGCACCATGCAGAAATTGAAAAAAAACGATAACCCGGGGGGTCAGCAAATTTCAACCATACTTGGTCTATGGTCACCCCTAGGTGACAGAAGTCACATGATGAAGTGAAAAAATTTTGAACGGACAACTTCCGGTATAACTGGAAATTGTTGTTTTGGGGCAAAAGTTGACATATTTCGACCAAATTGTTACCCTAATTTCAAAACGCTCCTACCCGAAATGTTGTGTCTCTAAATTTTTGATATTGGTCAGGTATGATAGGCCTAGTAGTCGTCTTAAAATCCTGCAGTCGTTTGGGAATGAATGAATCGTGTGGAATTTTCTGTGAGTGATCATAAAGTGGTCATTTTACATATGTTTAAAACTATGCTATCCTAAAATGCATGATGTAGCTGCTTCTTTGCAGGTCTGACATAGAATTGCTTGGTGTGGTTGTGAAGGGCATTTCTCAAAGTAAATGTCAAAAGAAAAAAACTGACCGGAACGCAACCCACTAGAGTGCTGTAATATTCTGAAAATGTGTAAAAACGGTATTTTCCACGAAATTCGTCTTTTCACTGATGACCGACTACTATTTTCAAGAGTTCAATGACCGTTGATTATGAACATTAGTACTATTTTTTGTTACTTGAACGTTTCTTGTGCCAAATATACTATCTTGGTTAAAAATCATGAAGTTTTTATGACAAAATATGACGTTCGCGGTCATCGTAGGAAAGGGGCTTAACTGGTGTATAATTTTGCAGAATCAGGCAACGATTATTCTCATCTGTATTCATTAGTTAGTAGCACGGAAGTGCATAAATGTAAGGACTGGCATAGTAAGCTTTTATATTAGCACAATTTAACCAAAGCAGCACCTTTTCAGCAATGACCAACGATTATCTTCAAATGACTACTGATCATCACCATTACTTGTAATATTTCGTAATTTTAACGTGAATCGTGTCAAATAGATTATTTTGTTTAAAATCGTAATATTTTTGTGACAAAATCTGACTTTCACGCTTGCTTGATAGCCATAGGGAAGAGTCATAAGTGGTGTGTAATTTTGCAGGGATCAGACCACTGTTATTAAGATCTGTATTCATGAGCAGATCATCGTATAAATTTGACTGACATGACTATCATAAACTTGATATCTATTAATTTGTACACCTGCTCATGTAAAGAAGAACCATAAGAAGAAACATTCAGAAGTGTTCATGTAGGGACATTTAATGTCTGGTATTGAAATCTCTGAAGGGAAAGATAGATCACAACAGGATTTATGGCACTCCAGGATAATGTTGACCGCATGTGCCAAACTCCTACATATACCTACGTTCGAGCAGAAGTGCTCACTTACTTAGATTCCTACGTTCGAGTGTAAATGCTCTCTGACCTTCCTTCAAGGTTTTTGGACCCCAGAGTACTGTTTTATTTTGTAGTACTGTTTTTGACCTCTTCTCCTTCAGGGATTTCAATATGGAATCATCATAGCCTCCCGATCTGTAATGACTCTCCATGAAAACTTCCAAATGTTTCTATACAATGATCGGCTCCTAAATACAGATGGGAATAAGCTGGTCTGATTCCTAAAATATGTTTGACCAAAATAACCTATTTGGCACAAGGAACATTGGTAGAAAAGGTGTTGTATAGTCGTCTTGCTCATTGTGTGACTACGACTTACTGTCACTGGATCATCTACAATCCCCTCATCTTTAAAACCTGTTACAAGATCGAACACGTACATCCCTCAGAAACACTTCTTTTACCCAAGAGCTAAAATATGCTTACACTGAATCGTGTATCATATTTCACCTTTCATTATATCATATTTATAGAAGACGATTTGTTCTGTTTAAATTGCATTGGACATTCATGAAACTTGTCCCTGGTCTAACACATAGACTTTAGATCCTAAGGTCTGTCATTGAGTTAAGTGGTGTGACAGCATGCCGGTGACGTGGTGTGGTGTTGTTTGTCCAACCTCATGGATATTCTCTTTTCCCACAAGTGTATTATTGAAGTAAAATTGTACCATATGTTAGTCCCAAAATGACCTAGTTTGTGTTGAGTGGACCTTAAACCCCATTCTTCTCTTAAGTCAAAATCACCCTTGCTAACGAATATATTAACTTTGTGATGATGTCCATAGATACAGTATGCATCACCATATTATGCTAGTCCCAAAATGACCTAGTTTGTGTCCAGTGGACTTGAAATCTCATTTTACTTTGTTCCTCTCATGTCTAAATCATCCTTGCTAACGACTAAATGGAATATATTAAATTTGTAAAGATGTCCATACATATACTTCATCTGGGGTATTGAAAGACGGGACATTTTATCCTAATTTTTGATGTTTTTAATATATTTCTCCTGTTTTTATTATGACTGTTCCGGTCATTTTTATTTTTTATTTTGTTAGTAGGAAGGTTGTTAGTTGTGGGTAACATTCAACTTTGGTCCTAGTCCCTGCAAAGAACGAGCTATAGCCTCTTAAACATTGGTTTTCATTAAATTCAATTTTCAGAGAGAGTTGGGTATCCGGCCAGTACCAAGGTATCATTAGCAGTAGAAACTTCAAACTCAGTGTGAAGGAGGAACCTGAGTGGTCCTACTAATTTTGTCTATCCAAATCAATTATTGTCCAAATAGCAGGTCATTCAAATTTGGATCCAAAATTGCCTATTTTTGGCTTATTTTTCGATTAAAAAATACTTTTCCAATTTTCCAGGTCGGTATCAACTGAATCAATCTAATATTTTGTGGGGATGTATCTGGGTACTAACCCATCTCACAGAAAAAATTTGGTCCAAATCCCTGACCCAAGGGTTATCACCCCCTGCATGGTGCTCTCGCGGACACGCTCTTAATGAAATAAATTTGAACCATATGTTAAGTCCCGAAATGACCTAGTTTGCGTCAAGTAAACGCAAAAACCCCATTTTTCTCTCTGTCACATACAAAAAGTATTCTTTTTTTCTAACCTAAGTGTCCTTTTTTTATTTCAGGTGTAAAAACAAAACATGTGAGACTCACCTGAAGTGCTGGTAGTTTTTGATACCTTGCAAAGGACGGAAGTAGGGCTGAAAAAAATTCTGCCAGTCATAAGCCTTCACATAAACCGTGCCATCTTCTAATCCAACAAGCTGAGGAATATTAACTCCAGTTACTGTACTTTCACGAACTACAACAGCGATATCGTCCAACTTGCAGACTCTTGTCCGTCTGTACTTTTGCTTAATTAGCCCGAAGCACCAGTCTGGTGCGAATTTTGTGTGACCAACAATTAAGAAATGCAATCCTATATGACTATGGAGCTTGTGCATGGTCCTCCACGCCATGTACCAGAGAACAAATCTATTTTTGTTCTGTCCAGAGCAGTTATCACAGTGTAGCCCTGCTTCTTTTTCACCAAGTCCAAAGTTGTCAAAAAAGTGGTGGAGGTAGTTTATAACACTGTTAGATCCCTTGCTGGAAGCCATACTTTCATCCACAAGATAATTCACCTGCTGGGGTATCCCCTCACAACATACTCCGAACAACCCACACTTCCTCGGCGTCAAGAAATACATTGGTCCTGGTTGCCAGGGATCGGACGGAAAGTGTACCTGAAATAAATTGAGCAATTATTGATATCATTAGCACATGTCTAAGAACCGAACAGGGAACAAAAGGAGTACCATTATGCCACAGAATACCTAGAAAAAGACACAACTGAACGGGTGTAAGCCTGACTATCATAAATTTCAGTTTACACAGTGTTTATGAGACAGAGAGAAAGAAATGGGGTTTAACGACGTCCACTCGACACAAACTAGGTCATTTCGGAACTAACACATGGTTCAATTTTATTTCAATCATTCACTTGCGCGTAGAGGTCTTTAGCAGTGGGAGGAAACCGGAGGACCCGGAGAAAACCCACAAGGTTGGAGAGGCGACCCTTCTCCTTGTCACCAGGGAATCGAAACCATGTCAGTTCACTCACTGACAGATCAAATGATACAGCGCGCGCGTGCTAAACATTCGGCCATCCACCCCCCCCCCCCCCCCGTGTTTATGAGAGATACAAATACAGCACACTGAACAATTCCTTCTGACGAAAGGAATGCTATCCTGTATTTATGTAGAAAATATCTAAGATCGTGTTGAATTAATTCCTTGTTTCTATTGCCCGCCCGCTTAGGTTGAAGACCCCGAAAATCGTGCGCTTACCTTTTATAAGACAAAAAAAATATTAAAAAAATTATGTTAATACCATCTAATAAATTTTTTGTTGTCAAAACTAACAAACTCCAAGCGCATCAAATTTCATCTTACTGAAATGATTCCATTGAAATGTAACACAAGAATACGGAAAATTTATATCAAAATATGGTTATTTCCTATTCTAGTCGTTATTAAATGTATTCAATTAAATATCTGTGCTTTTATATTAACCAATAATAGATTATTTATAATATTAAAAGAGGTACACAACCCTCAGACTATAGATATTATGCTTTGTGTTTTAAAATTCACTTTGTGTTGTGTTTACCGCACTACCGCACATTATGGCCAGAGTGGTGGCAGGAGAAACAAGGAATCAATTCAACACGGCCTAATGTGAAAATAAATACCTGTTGTGCATAGTCGAAGCTGTAGTGCATTTTTATTTCTTTACTGGCAGGGGGTGAAGGTTGTAGCTTCAAATCTAATTCTTGACAGACTTCTTATGATTTCTTCACCATGTCTTGGTAGTATATTCTTTCTTTCTCAACAAGAAGAAGGTGTTCCTCTTGTTTTTTCAGTTTTGCAGACTTGACTACCTCTGGGAGATTGTTGCTTCTGAAGACCTGGTAATTATTCTTCTGACATACCCAGCATAAGTCTGCCATTGGCTTCGTACGAAGAATATGAGGGACCAGTGCCTTCCACAACTTTCGGAATGTGCTTAGTCTTACTGCGCGGCAGTCTGAAATAAAAGAAATAACGTGAATTATTGATTTGTGTTTAACTTTCCATTACTGCTCCATTTATCAGGTTAATTTGAGACAGATATATGCCAGTCGAAGTGCAATGCGAGAAATTTTGCCTGGTAGAGTGGTAGTAAGGACAACTTCCCTACTTTTCTTCGATTTCCAACTACCAGGGCATTTTAATGTGCACTCTTATGCGGGTGAACCTCGCTTTATAGTCTCACCCGAAGGGCTTGGTGCTTTTCTTTTCTCATTGCCTAATCACTCGATACTGGGATTCGAACGTCCTTCTCCCCGTGGGCAAACACCTTACCCATTGAGCCACTGTGGCTCTCAATTTACAGCAAAAGTCAAAATTTTCTTACCTAGCGAATCCATGGCAGCCTTGTATAAACGCCATACCATCGACTTTGTGACATTTGATGGCAGCAACTTTACATCATACCGCTTATGGCCAGGGTAACGTCCAGGTAGTATCACTGCCTGATCCTCCGCATAATTAGTGATGAATGTGACTACCTTAACTATGTCCTCATGCTTCAAAAGATGGCGGCAGTTATCTCTACCGCCACTCTTTTTCTTGCGCGGTGTTAATCCATATTCTTTGTAGTGTTTGAAAAGTCGTGTGAGGGTGTCTTGGCAAATGCTGAAAGAAGAATATTTATACTTACAAAATAGAATAAAGATATGTGGCAAAAAGTCACCATTGATAAACACAATTTAATCAATCAATTGAATTTTGCTGGCTTAACAAAGGGTGCCAGTCAAGTCGTCCACAAGCCAAGGTGTCCACAGTGAAGTCATCCAAACCCGTTGGTTGAGTTGTCCACAAGGCATTGGTGATATCGTCCACAACTATTGGTGATGTTGTCCACAACTAAGAATAAGACTCGTACACAATTTAATTCAATGGAAGAAATAGCTAGTACTCATTGACTGTTTTGTTATTTGATTGCAGATCGGATCTCCGATGTTTTTTAAAATAAATTTAATCGTATTGTTTGATAATTGTATGGTCATTATTTTGATGTTATTGATTATTTATTAAATTTGTTATATTTATGAAAATGTCATTTATTGAATAAAATGATTTACTTTGTTGTTTATTTATGATATTTATTGAATAAAATGATTTACTTATTTGTGTCAATTTCTAGATACCAAATATTATCGATTGAGCGCCTTTAAACTTAGTCATGTGGACGACTCAACCAACGGGTGTGGACGACTTAACTAGATTTTTCATGTGGACGACTTGACTGGCATTCCTTTACAACCCACAGGTTGGTCGAGAAAGTTCATCAGGATTTTTTGGACATGGTTTCCTCGTGTCAGTGGTGCAGGACGGAGGGCCTGACATAGACAACTGTCTAGTTGTTCTGGTGGGATGAAATACTGAGGTCCCGTGTACACATTGGCGTGCAAGTAAAAGGTCCCTTTTGGCAGTTGGAATTCGATATAAAAGTAGACCGTAGCTCCACTGTCCAGGGTAAGATGTGCCCGTCTTCATTAGCCCGGTCGGAGCAGAACAGTAGAAGGACGTTAAACCCTATACCATTTCATTTTAACGACCCACTAAAGCTTGCATATCAGGCTAATTTGAGACGGTCATTAGCCGATTGGTGTGTAATGCAGGAAATTTTACCTAAATAGCAAGGATATCTCTCCTTCTTTTTACGATTTCCAACTAACATGTGCACTCCTATACGTTTAGTATCCTCCAACAAAGAACTTGTTTTTTTCCTTACCGGGACCCTTGTCTGATCAAAAGATTTAAAACTGCCCCAGCTGACCTCGTCAGTATGTTGTGTCAATTAAACTTGAAATCATTATTGGGTTTGACATTCAAACAGTAACTGAACACTAAGGTGGCATGTTTTGAGTAGACCTAATAATTGAGAAATCAATTAAACATTAGAGTTTGAAAAACACTGAAGTGTGTACTCACTTATGAATAAATCGAAATGTATCCCGGCATATTGTTATGCCTTCAACTCTATACTCTGTTTTTTGGTGTTTTCTTTACGTCTGCGAATGCGCTCTTTTTCTTGGTCTCTGGGTGATTTTGCTAAAGTTTCCCATTGTGCTGATTTTTCCGAGCAAAACAAGGTCCTTTTCATAAGATGTTAGTTCACTAATTTCTAATCTACATTTTAATTGTATATAAAGCCATCAGCAAATTTAGAGCTAGGCCTACAGGAGAGTTTTATATCCTGGTTCTTATTTTTGTCTGCACGTTTAGAACACTCACAGCGAAAAGCCTGAATTTTTTTTATCTCGTTATCTATCTCGTCCTCGACGAACCCTGCCATATCTATTGTCACGGTTTGTATTTCCTGGTCAACTACAACATCAGGAATAAAATCAACCTCATCATCCTGGACGTCAACCCGGTCAGGGGCTCCTGGTCTTTCTTCCTCTGGAACTAGGCCTAAGCCTCCAGCAGCATCACTGTCAATGTCATCCCAAAAAACTGGAACTAGGCAATGAACCATTATGATCTACAACAAGGTCTTTCACTTCGATTGGATCGTCAGAATCAGACTCCGAATCTGACGAAGAGGGTACGAAGTCGTCATCATCCAAAAAGTAGGTAGCAATCACGTCAGTCCAAGAAGAAACTGTGCAAGCAGCCCCCAAATTAAAAGATTCCAATTCATTTAGAGCTCTAGCCACACCTGCTTCTCTTCTACTCATATTCTAGATATTTTAATCAGAAATAGGCAAGCATACCATCGAAGAAATTAGCGTAATTTGTAAGATATATCAACGATTAAAAATTTAATTCATGGGCGCCGCCATCTTTGTTTACCAGCAAGGCATTGCGCGGGCAGCCGTGACCTGCAATGACCCGGCTCTGAACCAATCAGAAGTCACTGCATAAATAATTAGATGACGTAGCATGGCAACAAGCCGACCCGGATTAGTTTTTTTCTTGGTTTCTATTGGCTAAAAATGCGATCAGGTCGGTTTTTCTTTGCAAAGACGTCAGAGAGAATTATCTCCCGCGCATTTTGGTGTAACTTACATGGGGATTCCCCAAGTAGTTTAGCGATGACGGCCGCTAGAAAATAGCTTGTTTTAAGTCAATTTTTCCCATTTTTTTAATTTTTAGGGAATGATTGGATTACTAATTACACGATTTTTAGGTATTTTTATTTCAAATATCTTAATAAAGTTTATTTTAGCTGATAATTGAGAAAGTAAACAATCAATTTCTGTCAACATCTCAAAATTGACCTCGTACTGTCGTAGTGTATTTTTCTATATATCGGCACTTTGATAGTAAATTACTCGAAATGGGCCTGAGCGTCAATAGTCTTTCAAATAAATTCACCTACAGCGCCTTTATCTGGCCTGTGGAGAGATCAAAATCTATTATACATTTAAAATAAGTGAGTTTTGTGGGAGGAATCGGTGATTTTAGAAGTGAATTCCGGTGATTGTAAATGAAATCCGGTGATTGTAAATGAATTCTGGTGATTGTAAATGAATTCCGGTGATAAGTCTACCCGGGTGATTATAGTTCAGGTCTCACCCTACCATATTATAATGGTCACCCAGTGCAACCTCTCTTTCAGTGTCTGCAGACACCTTAATTATACCCTTTCTTCAAATTGCAATATCTCAACTGGAGCAGGGTTTGCGATAAAAATGGAAATCATTTTATTTGCAGCTTGACCTGTTCTAACAACATAAAAAATAAAATCGTTGTCAACTAACATTCAACAGTAAGAAAATTTGTGTCGAAAGATGCGAAATTCGTCACTTTTCGTGTCAAATTTCGGTTTCTTAAATCTTAAGTGTTGGGATTTCGTCCGTACATTCCGGACATGTCCTACGCTATTTTCTAAATGTCTGGTCAGGAATATCTACAATCGGGGATCAAGATATGATGAATGATATTCAGAATTTCAAGATTAATATAGTGTACTGAGTGTATAACTACCACTCATCCCGATTATTGTTGACAATATGCTGGATTGATTAGGTAATTAAGTGATCAGCGTATTTATCGTATTATACCGTCTATACACCTACCTTGTTTACCAGCTTAATCTGCCTTGCTTGACAGGCTTATTATTTTGTCGGGAAATTCATCAATCTAATCTTGAACAGAAGTCATAGCTTCTCTTTTGTCGGACTATTTATCAATTCAATAAGAGTGAGTATCAACCTTATCAACGTGATTGCCTCGGTGGTTTCTCCATTGCCGGACAATTTAATCACATTGATATCAACCGACAGCACCGTAGTACTAGTCCTTGATGTCACATATTATCCTAATAGTATATGTGACCGGTTGATATATTAACTTGTATTGGTCTTGTGTTGATATTGGTCTTGTGTTGGCCTGAGTGCTGACTGCAGATCTATTTTTTAGCACACTCGGGAGTAGACTGACAGAGAGGGACAGACGAGGATTGGCTATCGGACAGCACTGCTGTTATGTCGAATTTCTTGATTGTATCTGTTGTTAATTTATTAAAGTTTTCTTGAATGACTTTGTCAAACTGACTTTGTCACAATTGGCGTCGAGCCGATACGATAGAACCAAATTTGCGGTGTTTCAAGTTCAAGTTTAGAAGAACAGTCCATTCGGTGAGAGCTTTCCAATACTTATCATATTCAAAACTTTTCCTGATTATTTGCCAAATGTTTTGTTGTCTGTGCTATGAGTGAAGTCAAATTAAGAAAATTTATATCGAAACCATTACCAGATATAGTGGGTAAACAGAAAAGTTTGGCGGTTTTAGTAACAGATAGTAAGGGTAATTATTTGAGGAGACATTTTGCTCACAGTCACTTAATTGACATCAAAATCGAGGCGTTCAAAGGCAGAAACACCGAAAGTGGTATTAACTTTATTCAACAAAATTTGTCTTCTTGGCATGCTGATTGTAAGACTGTTGTAATTTATGTTTGGTTGGGAACATGTGATGTCACTGAAAAACGAGGGGATTTTATTTATGCTAGACATCAGGATCCAGTGAGTGCCGTTTTACGTCAGTATAGGCGAGCAATACAAATTGTTGGCGAATATCCCGATTCGAGAATTAAATTCATTGAAGTGTCCCCCATATCTGCTTGTGCGTTTAATTCATCACGAGGCCACAGGGACCCGGAACAATTTCTCGTTGAAGATAGTAGAGTGAAAGATTATTTGTCGCGAATAAACAATGAAGTAAAACTTCTAAATTCCGAACTGAATCAATCAACTCTGGGATTCTCGAATGACCTGTTACGGTGTCGGAAGAATCGCGGCAAGAGGGCAAGATATTCACATAACTACCCAGATAGCTTATAGGCCCAGTGTTGGATGCGACATTTAATTAGTGACGTCATCGTATGTTGTTTTCAGAGACTGTCGTTACCGGTAGTCGTGGATTGATTTTTTAGAAATAAGGTTGAGCGGAGATAGCTTTGCTATAACCTATACTTAATCATTATTTTTTTACGTGTTCTGTTTATATATATTTTTCTTGTGTCGGATGATGGGGATAGCCTTGTTTTCTGATTGAGGATTGGTTTGAATATACAAGTGTATGTATTTGATTTGTATTTTTGTTACCTGTTTACTAGCAACCATGGCTGGGAGTCCTAGTGATTAGCGAAATTA